TCTCTTGAGGCCTGCCAGCCTCTACCATCTGGCCAGACTGGTGCTGGGAGAGATAGGGGGTGCTGTTAGTGCCATGGGTGTGGGCAGGTGGGAGTGTGGGTGTGTGTGACTGTGTGTGTGCCGAGCCTATGGCTCAGCTGCGTGGCTACGAGTGACACTCATGTGTTTGTACTCACAATTGTCTATGTTTATGTGTCTGCAGGACTGTGTCCAGTGGCCTGGGGTCTCTGAGTATGTACCCCAGATTGGGGGTCTTTGATCTGTGGGTTTCCCATGGGAGGCTCTGAGTGGAAGCAGTGGTGTTCTGTGAACTCCTGGCTCAGCTCTCAGTCAGAAGAAATTAACCTTTAGGTCTCTTTCTGTAGAGGGGCTGGAAGTCCTAATTTGGGACATCAAGTCAGCCGAGAAGTCCTAAAGCACCCTTGACCGTCCTCCCACCCTATCCCTGGAGGTGAACTCTGGTTTCAGGCATCATCAAAACTCCTGGGTACCTCAGGGAAGCAAACCTCACCTGCCCCAGCACGGGGACAAGCAGGATGCAAAGCCATTCTGAAGTACAGTCAATCATCCAGACATAAGACACTGGCATATCATGCATGAATCCGAGATCCACATGTGTAATTACAGACCCATGTATACACACACACACACACACACACACACACACACACACACACACGCATGCATACACATTCTCATATATACATCACAACATACATCCATGTGGCCACACATTCAAATGCTTGCACAAGGAACATACCTGTCATTGATAAAACACATTCTTGCAAGGATGCACATTCTTAGAGTCACATACACGTAGACATGCTTGTATATGTGTTCATACACATGCTGTCCCTTTTGTGCCTCTTCTGTCCTCCCTTCAGCTGCCTCATGCTAATGCTCTGCTGTACTCTTCACCCACTGCCTAGGACCCTTTGAAAGGTAAGCATCAAAGGACAAATGTTGGATCCATACCTGCCTTTGATCCCGTGAGTATGAAGTGGTGTGTGTTTACCTGTCGCTGCTTGTGTGTGTGACACCACGTGTCTGGCAGGCTGTGTGGCCCTAGCTCCAGGTAAAACAGGCAACAGTCTCTTTATGACACTGGATATTTTTCTGTGCATATCTGGGCCTATTTCTAGAAGGATTTATGTGTGTCAACACCTATGTGTGTGAATTTGTGACCGGAGAGGATTTCCGTATCTGTGTAACTGCACCTTGTGGGCCACTTCCCACGCATACATGGCTCTGCGGGCCAGGCTTTACAGGCTGGTCTAGCTGGCCTACCACCAGAAGAGACTGTGGCCTGGGGTGGGGCCAGGTGAGACCAGACTAAATCCCCTGGCCATTGACAGTCATATTTACAGAGCTTGGAGTAGGGCACAATTGCTTCTATTAATCTTTCTCTGGTTGTTAATTGCTCACTTATCGGGTTGTGTATTATGCCGACTCTTGCTCTTAATTCTCATTCATAGCTGCAGGTGTTTGCTGCCTTATTAACTGTTAATCTGCGCGGCTAGGGATAGAGACTTAATTGGCCCCCAGAGAAGGACACAGGCGGGCCAACCGGGCACTGCTAGACTCTCAGCCCATCCCTGGAACTCTCACCTGTGGAGCACAGGTGGCTGAAGGGAAAGGGCTGGCCTACTGCCAGCAGACAGGAGTCCCACATTCAGCAGTTCCAGCCACAACTACAAGGTATGAACCCTGTACAGTCCTACCTCCTCCCAGGAGCCAACTGACCAATCAGAACCCAGCTGCTATACCTCCTCTCTATCACCAACAATCTTCTAACCAGGAGAGAAGCCAGTCTCATTCATTTTAATTATCTGAACCTAATTGACAACACTAACATATAATTGGACTGGTTTTTACCTTTTACCACTTTTGCTGCCTACCCGGTGACCCTAGCAATGAGGGCTCTGAAGGTTACAGAGATACTGGAAGAAAGGAAGGCAGGAAGGAGCCTCCATTAAAGCAGTAAGGTCAGAAGTTAGGCGCAATAACGACTTCCCAGCCTTTGAGGAGGCTATTCGGAGCAGTTGGAGTCCAAAGGAGCTTCTGGGAAGAAGTTCTACTGCTGTATCTCAGCCACACTTCTGCTTACACAAGTATGGGAAACTTGTTTCCTCCCCTGCACTGCTACGCTGCAGCACTGGGAAAGGCCCTTCCTACCGAGTTTACTCCCCAGAACGTATGTTGTTCCTCAAATGTCCACAATGGGGAAACTGAGGGGCAGAAAGGGGAAGGGTGTGACCTCAGTGTTCCCCAATTCTCTTTGGTAAAGGCTCAGACATGCTACAAAGTTTCTGCTCTCTGCCTTTCTCAGTGTCCTGTTCCATCCTAAATATCTCACTCCTGGAGGGGAGTTTATTAGCTCCCACCTCTCAGCCATCACAGACTCCAGTGCCCCTGGACCTGGAATGTAAGGTTTCTAGAAACACTGGTGATGGTGGTGGGGTGGTGGGATCCATGCTGCACCAACCTGGCTTCCAGTCTCCAAGAAGGACAAACAGGCAAACTAAGAGTCCTCATCCTGTACGCAGAATGTAGTCTTCCCTGACATTTGGAACTTCTTCTAGTTGTCCTGTCTGAAGCTGCAAAAGAAGTGGATCTGCTTTAACTGGGTTCTGAGAGGAGCTGGGCTCTACAAGGAAAGGAGAGGGAAGCAACATTGAGCGCTTACTTTGTGCCAGAGAGAGCAATAAGCACGTGTAAAAGTAGCATCCCATTAAACTCGCACATAACCTGATGAGTCAGGGATTTGTGTCCCCACTAACAAGGAAACTGAACTACAGGGTAGAGTGCTAACTCAAAGCCACAGAGCCAGGAAAGGGTAGATCTGGGGTTCCCTCAAGACCTGGAATTACTTAGGGAGATGCATTTTTGTTAGGGATTCCCAAGCGAATTCATGCTAATAATTTGATAAGAGAACTTGGAAATCGAGAGCTTGGTGGCCACTATCATAGCTCACCAACCTACTCCCAAATCTGGGAACACAGAGAAGTAAAACACTCAAGCATGCGCAGTCCACATGACTATCAGGCGGGAGGAGAGCAAAGGGAACTATCAGAAATAGTTGCCCAAATAAGTTCCGGCCCCGCCTCTATGTTAATGACATACAAATATATGTAAATTTTCAAAGCAACAGCTCAAACCTTTGGGAGCAATGGGGTGACTCGGGAGCAGTTGCCATGGAAATACAGAAGCTACCCTACAACCTGTTCATGCAGGCACAAAGACCCAGGGTTCCTCGCTCTGGCGCCCAGAGCATCACCGAGTGGCAGGGGGTGTGAACCGGAAGGACCCTCAGAGACTGCGTCCAGCCGGGGGACGCTGATACGACGGGAAAGTAGCAGCAGGGAGCTCGGCGTCAGGATCCTGGCGGCTCGCTGTGCCTTCTACTATACCCTTCCGGTAGCTGGCGACTCCAGCTCCGGCCTAGCAACGTGAGCCCCGCCCAGGGTTGCATAGCAACATCCCGAGAGCCTAGCAACCGCCGGCCACGCCCCCTGCAACGTCATGCCTAAACTGCGCTCCGGGTCCTTTCCAAAAGAAAGGAAAAAGGCTTGTGGACAAATGCTAGAATGTGAGTGGGGGTCGTGTGGTTTAGTTCCCACTTCTAGACAGACCACTTCTAGGGTTTCGGAGTTCACCCAGAGCCCTTTTCCCTAGAGCAAAGTATTAAGGGTCTGCGTTAACATCCCTATTTACAGAGGGGCAAACTGAAGCTCGGGAAGGAAGGCCCTCCCCAGAGGCCACAGTTTGTCTTCCCTGTATGCCCCGGGAGGGAGCAAGCGCCAGCCTAGGAGAGGGATGCACTGCAGTCTTCCCGCCCCGACTGCGTGAGGAAAACCACCCAAGTTGCGGACTCAGAATCAAGCTGCAGGTTTGCATAGTAATTCGCGTAATTTGCATACAGCGCGGAGGCTGTGGTTCTCTTGCCCTTCCAAGCCAGAAAAGTTCCCGAAGGAGCTCCCGCTCCCTTCTCAGGTTCACCCGATCAGCTCCTCTCCCTGCCCCCACCTGTACTCCATCCTCACCCCTCTGCCAGCCCTTCCTAAATTCTCTCACCCTGCCCCCAGCTCGGCCTCCGTCCTGCCAGCCCCAACCTCCATCCCAAGGCTGAGGGCCCCCTCTGCTGTCGGCTGCGGGTAGGGCAGCATAGAGCACGTGGCGTAAGGAAGAGGGGCTCCCCCAGATTGCGGTAGCCCTCTTAGTCCACCGGTGTTTAGAGCGAAGCCCACACACGGGTGGACTTGGAGAAAAGGAGAGCAGAGGCGACACCCTCCAGGCTCTGGGGTGAAAAGTGGCGTCCTGCCGAGGCTTTCGCCCCTGGAGTGTCTAGCCATGACCAGCTCACCCCCAGCTCAGTCCCCAGACTGAGCGCTCTGGCCAGGACCAACACCTTAAGACACCTTACCATTATAGCCTCTGCTTCTGCTCACCGAGCAGCACTTTTCAACCCTAGGATCAGCCTCCAACTCTCAAGGTCTAGACCCTTGCCTTTCTCCAGTACCTTTCTAGGAGCTGACAAGAGAAAGTAGTCACCTACAACAGAGACCATACCCAAACATGCAATCAGACAGGCACGGGTACCCACAGGTGCACACACAGGGACTAGGGTGACATTTGGTGCTAGTTTCCTGTTGATGGAGCGGGCTGTCTTGGTACTGAGAAGTTCAGAAACCATTGCACCTTGCCTTCTGTTTTCTCCCTAGCCATCTCTAGGTGCCCATGTCCCCTTCAAAAGCCTCCATCCACTTCTCTCCCTCTCCACAGCCTGGTCCTGCCTGCTCTTCCATCACTTATCCTTCCCCTTAGTTAATATCTGCAAAATGCTTCCAGATGCCCCCATGGCAATAGCTGTGCTCTGGAGCACAGTGATGGTTTGGGACCCATTGCTAAGGTCCCACATTTGTACACAAAAAATTCCCAGAGACACTCTAACCATTTGGCTGGGACTACAGTCTCTACTAATCAGCCAGCAGATGCAACCCTAGCTCTGCCAAATTCTTTATTAAACCAAAATCCAATACCAAACAGACTATAGAACAGGAAATAAACAGGACAGATAGGAAAAGCTGACCCTTCCCTCCCTCTACCCGCTGCATCTACCCCCACCTCTCCCTGGTTCAGCACTAGAAGGGGAATCAAAACCCGTTCTAAAGGGTAACTGGGGTCACGCCTTTCTAGGAAAGGGACATTTCGTGCCAACTGTAGGGCCTAAGGAGGGATTAGGAGCAGGGTCAGGGATCTCTGCAGCTGTGGGGGACTGGCAGCACAGGCCGTAAGTCCCTGGGGCAGCAGGGGGCTGAGGAAATGCTGTAAGGGATGGGAGAAGGGGATCCTGGCCCGAGGGGATCAGTGAGGCTTGGAGTTGGCAAGTAATAGTCACCAGGGTCTTGAGGTTCTGAACTAGGACTTGGTAGGGGCAAGAGGCCCTGTGGTCGTACTGGCCATAACCAAAGTCATTGGCAGCGGGCACTGCTAAACAGGGATGTTGAGGCTGGCACCAGCCTGGTTTTGGAGACTGCTTCTCTCGGTCATGACATTGCTGGGTTTCAGACTCTGCCCATGGTTTCCCCTTGACTCTGGGGAACTTCGGCCAAGCACAAACTCTCCTTGGAGACAGGCTGCCTTTGTCCTGGTTCTGCTGCAGGGTCACGTCTGTCTTTCTGTCCTCTGGCTGGTAGACTCTGATTTCCACTTTCTCCTTGAAGGATACTCTCTTGCGAACCTTCCTCCACACAGTTCTGGACACGGCTGTGTTGGGAAGCCCTTCTTTGGGGAGCAACACAGCCAGCAGCAGGCTTGAATGAGTGATTTCCAGACCTGAGGAAAGAAGAGAAAGATCCATGGACAAATGGGAAGACAACACAACCCCCAAAGCTGCATTGTCTCTGCCACAGTCTGGAGTTTATATCCCAAGCAGAGTTTCCCAGCAGTGAGCAAGGAGCCATGGGAGGCCAGGAGAGTGAAAGGATGTGCCTATCTGGGAAGATTTAGTCTCAGCAAGATCAAGGTTCTTCTGGCTGATGGCAGGGCATGGGAGATTGACTCCGAGGCTCTGTGGATTCAAAGTCTTCCTCGTTAGTGAAGGACATGCCGCCCAAAAAGGTCATCTGCCCCTGGGTCAAATCTGGCTCTCCCAAAGCTTCTAGTTGGACAAGCAGTGTAGTGGGGTGCTCAGGAACCAGTTTTGGGAGCCAAGCTGCCCCAGTGTGAGCTTGGCTCTGCTTCCATGATTTTAGGGCAAGTCATTTACCTTTTTCCTACTTCAGTTTCTTCATCTGTGAAACAGAGAATCTAGGAGCACAGCTCTGAGAGGGCTATTCTGAGACTATAGGAATGCATGTAGGTAAAGGGCTGGGGGCTTAGCATGTATGAGTCCCAGGGATCAAAAGCCAACACTGAAAGAAGAGAAGGAGAAAGAGGAGAAAAAGAAAAAGATGACGACTTCAAGGAGGTAAAGCTTTTAGAACGATGGCTGGACACAGTAACATTCAAGTATCAGTTATTTTGCTGGCAGTGCTAAGGGTCAAACCCACAGGCACACATGCCAGGCCAACGCCCTGCTCTGAGCCACACCCCTAGCCTGAGCTTTTACTGTTCTCTCTGTCCCCTCTGCATGTGTCAGGCATTCCCTTCTGAGATGTGCCCGTCCCTGCGGGGGCACAGTTGACTGTCAACACCACCCAGTCCGCACACCAAGCCAGGGGAGGCAGGTCTGCTGCGGGCACTGGGCACTCACCTGGGCCACCCAGAAGGCGCAGTCTGGGGGGCAGTGGCTGGAAGGCAGGCAGGGGCAGCAGCACCACCCCCACGTGCTGCACGGAGGTCAGTCCATGACACTGCTTGTTATTGAGGTAGGAGTAGAGCAGGCGGCAGTTGTGGATGTCCTGAGTGCCCTGGGGACACAGTCTGACCACGGAGATGTCCTGCAGGTGCAGGAGGAGGGCAGCTGAGGAGCAGTGATTCTCTGTCTGGAGACATCTAAGCCTCTGAGAACCCCATAGGAACCATCTGCATTTTCCAGGAGAGGAAGCACAGGGTCTGCAGTTGGACCTAGACCTGTGTTTCCCAAACCAACCTTCTCTACCAGAGACTGAGAGGGAGTGAGGGGGTGAAGAGGGGCCAAGTGAAGAGGGTGCCCGCGAGTGGGCAGTTACCTTGGCCTCTGCTGGAGACACGCTGGTCAGAAGGTCCCAGACGGTGGAGGGGGAAATGCAGCCTGCTGAGCGAATCACCTCGGGCAGAGCCTGGGGACAGGTGAGTGGCCTCAGCCCCCAGCTCCCCCTCCTTTTAGGCAAACTCATTCTCAGCCACCTGGAAGGCTGAGGCCGGAAGCCAGGAAGGTGGGTAGGCAGCATCATAACCCTCAGTGCCTGCCCAGAGCGCTCCAATCACTCCAGGTCCGGAGCCTGTCCTACCCAAACTCCTGCAACATCTCAAAAGCCCTTCTCTCCCTCTGCTGACCTGCCACCCTCGCCCAACACTTTAGCTGATCGTTCAGTTATTCAACAATAACTTCAAACTCTCTCCCCTGGGCCAAAAGGTACCGGATGTGGCTCCTAAGCCCCTCATGCTTTAAAATGCTTCACCCTCTATGTCTCCCCAGGAGTGGGCTGGTGTCTCATTTGTCCTGATGCCTAGCACAAGGCCAGGCACAGAGCGGGTACCGTGAGTAACAGAATACACGGGTCAATGAACAAAAGCTCACTGAGGAGCGTGTGAGGGGACCCCTGGAGAGCAAGGCAGGCAAACCTGGATGAGCCGACAGCTGTGTCCCGAGACCAGCTGGGCCTTGGCCCGGAATCGCTTGATGGAGAACATGTCAAGTGTCCCCTCCCAGGGAGGTGGGCTGGGTGGGGTCTTTGTGGGCCCAGCAGACACCTGGTGCCTAGAGGAAAAGAGACAGGCAGGGTTAGTAGAATGGGTCATCAGGACCACCTTCCTTTTCAGAGCAGGTTCTGTGTCACCACTACAAGGACCAACACTGGCCCAGGGATGGCCTTGGGCAGGGAATAACTGGGTCAGTCTGTTCCACTGTATACATGGGTAAACTGAGGCAGAAAGATTTGCGATGGTAAAGAGAAGCCTGTGCTGTGTGTCTGCCACCACAGCTGGTGGACTCCTCCACTCACCCTTCAGGGTTGTCACCTCCCAGCTCTAGGCCACACTTGTCCTGGGGCTCCATGGGCGGTGTCTCCCTGGCTCTGGGCAACTCTGGAGAGGACACAGGAGTTGTGCTTGGGACCCTCTGGAAGACACTGTCCCCCCTGTTCCCAGAGGCTCTGGAGAAACCTGGCAACTCATTTAGAGACTCTGCAAGCAACAGAGGCAAGAGCTGAAACAGGCAGGCAGAGGTGGAAGCCATCCCAGCACTGAGAGCCCGGGCTTGAAGCAGGACCACTCCTGCGCCCTGCACCCCTCTCCCCCACCTGCACAAATGTGGCAGTCGGGGTCCAGGAAATGGTGAGCATGTTGTTTCTCCAGCAGGGCAGGCAGGGCCTGCAGGCCACAGTCTCCGAATGCCACGGCGCCCTGCAATACAGAGGTGGAGAAAGGAACAAACAGAAAGGTGGGGGACTCAGTGAGATGGAGCCCCATGGGTAGAGAGCTGCAGGATGCAGTTTCTTTTCTTAACACTCTAATCACAAAATACTATGAACTTGTTAAAAAAATTGAAAAATACAAAAAATTGAAAAATCACTCTTATACTATTCAGGTAACAGCTGATGTTCCTTTATGACGGTTCCTCTATGCACAAGACTGGGAAGGGTCCTTATGCCAACATAGCTAGGGTCAAACATTTAACTTCGTACCCTTATTCTGTCCATCAGTTGTAGCAGAGGCCTTTGCCACGTTATCTAACCCGAGTGGCACCCCTGGTGAGCGGGCTGGAGTGTACATGTCACCTCTATCATCTCTGGGCCATTTCTGGGTTTTCACTACGAGGCCTAACACTTGAGGACATCTTCACACAGAAAATATTTTCCCAAATTCTACATTCTTTCCTTGGGTCAAGTTCTCAGAAGGGAAAGACAAATCAGGGAGAGAGATCATTTTAAAGACCCTTGATAGTCAGGTAAGGTGATACACACCGGTGACCTCAGTACCCTGAGAGGCTAAGGCAGGAGGATTGAAAATTTGAGCCCAGCACGGGCAATCAAACAATTCAGTGAGACTCTGCCTCAAAAAATAAAAACAGGGCTGATGGTGAGCTCAATGCAAAGGTCCTGGATTAAATCCCAGCACCACCCCTCCCTCAAAAGACTCAACGTCCAGGGCCAAATCCTTTTTTCTTCGTAACAGAAATAGCTATAGACCCACACACGTCCACATTGCTTTAGGAAGGTTTAAGAGGATTCTGAAACTCTAACCTCGCCTTGTAACCACCTCAAGAGCAGTGCCACGGCACAGGTGATGGAGCCAGAGGCCCAGGTTGGAATCTCACAGCCCACTGCATGACCCCAGGCCAATGGCTTCCAATTCCTCATCACGGAAAGGGCGCAGCCTCAGCCCTGACCAGGTAGGCCACTCAGTGGTTTGAGTGAGGTGCTGCTGGTAAAAAGGGGCACACAGCAGGAGTCCAGTGGAGAAAAGATTGTTACTGTGTGTCACTTTCCTTTTGCACTGCTCCTTTCCTCCTCTCTCCTAGGACTGAGGGCTTCTCTCTAGTCTTCCCGGCTCCTCCCCTACACTGACACTCGATTTATTCAGGAAACTTGGCTTGGCATTGGATGGATTTATTCAGGAAACTTGGCTTGGCATTGGTTGGCAAGCTCAGGGCACGGCTGTGCACAGGCCGTGGTTCTCCTTGGCTTGGATGTCAGGGTAAGAGGTGGGAAGCAGGGACTTTCATTTATCACGTTCACTGCCATCTCCCAGTGCCCATCATCCAGCAGGTACTCCATAAATGTGTACTGAATACACAAATAAAGGTTCAGGACCGTCCTGAGCCAAGTGACATCTGACACTGGGAACACCCAAACCAAGCCAGAGCGGCCTTCTTCTGAGAGAAACTGATGCGAGCCACAGGGAAGCTGTAGGTGTCCCACTCATGGATTCTGGGGCTGCTGGGCCTCTATATCAAGCTCTGTGCAAGATCGAGCTGGGGCAGGAAGGCATAGGATGAGCCCATTCCTGGGGGTGTGGGAAGGCCTAGACTCTGGGTCTTCCTCCAGGAGCCAGGGCAAGTTCTGGCCCAACTGGCCTGGGTGCTTAGTGGGTCTTTGCCCAGTCCAGCTCCAATCAACCAAATACACCAAACCTCTTACTTACAGCTGAAAAAAATCACTGCACAAAGGAGGTATGGAGAGACCCGGCCATGCCTGCCTGGAACCTGGGAAGAAAGGGTCACTATCCCCATTTTACCATAAGCACAGCCACTCAGTTAGTGGGGTGAGGGTCCCTGAGCATGGACCCACCCAGCACCAGCTCAGGCCCCACTTACCAGGTCTTCCAGGATCAGCATCTGGTCCATGTCCCGTGGAATCTCCACCTCACCCTTGTGGGTCAGTTTGGAGACCGGAAGTCCACATGGCTCCTTCTGTTGCTGCACAATGCTCTCTAGTCCCTGAGGAGGCCAGCTCAGCATGTGATCACCGTCTCTGGCCAGTACTAAAGGCCCAGAAGCTCCTTTCTCCCTAGAAGACCCTCTGCTGGGCTCCCACCCATATCAGCCCCCTCCCTGGCTCCCTGCATGCTTCCACTGCTCCTCGCACCTGAAAGCTGACCACCCTCAGCCCTGCCTCTCCACAGACTCAGCTCATTCACCCTTCAGCTCAAAATCTGCCTCCTAAGGAAGCCTTTCTGGACTTTTCTTTCCCCTGCAATTCTCTCTCTGATCATGCCTTCCCCTGTGCCCTGGGGAGGCCGAGGCAGAAAAGAAATTTTCAGTGGGCTGTTAAAAAAGAAGGTATTATGTCCTTGGGTCAGCACTCTGCTTAAACCTGCTTATCTGTTCACTGGTGATTAAATTAAGAGCATTACATTAAATAGTACATGCAAGATAGGTGTGGTAGTGCACACCTGTAATCCCACAACCCAGAAGGCTGAGGCAGGAGGTTTGCCAAGAGTTCAAAGCCAACCTGGGCTACAAAGTGAGTTCAAGGCCAGCTTGAACTGCATAGTGAAACCCTTTCTCAAAACGATAGAGATAGGTAGATAGATAGATACATAGATAGATAGATAGATTATAGATAGATAGATAGATAGACAGATAGATAGATAGATAGACAGCACATGCAGAGAGCCTGGCCTATGCGGAGGCTCACAGTAAATGCTGGCTGTGATTCTCATTGTTGATCAATGTCACCCTGCCTGGAATGTTTCTCAAAGGCTCACTTCTTTTCCAACAATCCTGGAGGAAAGAGGTCCTATTTCCTTGAGAGCTCAGCTTCAAGGGCTGGGACTCACACAGTCACACAGGACCCTGCACTTAGTAGGGCCCAAGCTCAGTTTAATGTATTGCCGTTATCATCTTGAAATTCTTCATGGTTGCTGAACATGGAGCCTGACATTTTCATGCTGCATCGACCCTGACAAATAGCCGGTCCTGCCCCTGGCCCTTCACGGTGCCTGGACAGAAGCTCAGCCATGAGTGGATGAATTCACCTAGTGGACTCTGGTTATGAATTCTGATAAGCACAGTATCTTCTGGATCAGCACCTCAGCACCCTGCCCTGTTCCGGGGCCTCAGCCATAATCAGGTGGCCATCATCAAGCTTCAGGTGAACATTTCCCAGAGCCAGCTCAGCCCACACTTTCCTTGTGCCTGAGAACTCCAGGCCCCAGTGTTTACAGGGGCATGACGGAGTGTGGGGACTGTGGGGGTGCCCACGCCCGGGACACTAGGAAGACAAGCAGCTTTTTCTGAGGTTACTGAGGCTGGGAGGAGGGGGAGGGGACAGTCCCTGATTTCCCACCCTGGACTTGAGACTCCAGCACAGTGCTGACAACCCTATGGCACAAGTGCCCAGTGGGCTGTTTGTACCACTGAAAGCTTTAAAATGTGTGCCATCACTGCTCTGGGCCACCTCTGGTTATGCTCCTGCCCCACCTCCTTATACAGTTGGGCTCCACAGGAAACCAAGCGCCACCTCCCGCAGAGCAGAGTGCTCTGTCTCCCCACTGCCTTGATTCCCACCTCTTTTCCTACCTGTCTACTAGGAGGGTCCCTGACTGCCCCACCCGACCTGCCTTCTCTCCTCGGTTCCGGTTCCGTTTCTCTGCCTGGTGCTTCCCTGCCTCTCCATCTGCCTCCCACTCTGCTCTCTCCCCGCTGCTCCTGGGCCATCCTCTCCCTCCATTTTGCTGTCCCTCGGCTCCACACAGCTCACCTTTTTCTCCTCCTGGTCCCGCCAGCGGGCCAGTTCCTGGGAGGCTAGCTGGACTGAGCTCATCCGCACCAGGTCATGGGGGGTGACATTTCCATGAACCACTTTGAGAAACAGGTCCTGCAGGGACGGGGTGCAGAGGCCACGCACACCATGCTCAGCACTGCCACCCCATGCAAAGCCCTAGAGGCAGGGCCTGGCTTCCCCCCACCCCTACACTGGGGCCTAAGCCCTACTAACTGGGTTCCTGGGGTCACGCAGGTTGAAGAGCAGGGTGCGATACTTGGTCTTGTAGCGGTAGGTGGTGCCCTGCATGAGGTCAAAGAGGGCTGCTTCGATGTCAGCAGCGATGCCCTTCACCGCCTCCTCACTCAGCCCCAGGTCGGAAAGCTTCTGACTGCTGTGGGCACAATGGCAGGGCTGAGGTCACATGATGACCATGGTTATCCAGGCCCCAGGGGAGACATGTGAGTGGGAACAGGATCCAGGCCATGTTGCTTCTGTTATGAGTATTTTCCTACAGGGCCTGGTTAGTCTGACCCACACACTGTGAGGAAGAAATATGGGGGCTCTCCCTTTCCAGGTGGCTGAGGTGGGGAGACCAGAGCCTTGCCCCGGCTCCCCTGACCAGTGGCAAAGCAAGATTCCAAACCAGATGCCTCGGCCCACGCTCTGCCGGCCCCTGCCCCCGGGAGCTGGGGAATGTGAGGAGGGGAGGTAAGGGTTTAGGGCACCAGGCAGGGGGAGGATGGAGTCTATCCTGAGTCTGCCACTGATGTGACGCGTGGCCTCTGCAGGGTTCTGCTCTCGCTGAGCCTTGGTTCCACCATCAGTAAATGACAGCTCTCATTTCCATCTCTCACGGGCTCATTGTGCCTGGAAGAATCTGTTCCAGAGACACCCACAGGACCTGAGCAGACACAGCGCTGCAGTATCATAGACAGCAGCTAAAGGGAAGGCAAGATCTTGAGGCCAGGGACACTGGGTTCAGATGTCAGCTCTCCGCCAGCAGCTCCGAGCTCTGAGCTGCTGAACCAGGTTAAGCGCACACAGAAGCCCTCAGGATGAGGCCTCGCCCAGGAGCCAGCAGCCCCGGGACAGCAGTCAGCACTGTGTGGGGAAGCAGGGTCAAGGCCTTACCGACTCCACAGCGCCTTCCACAGGACACGGACCACAGTGCCCCGTATGTCAAGATCCGGGGCAATTGTCTCCTCTCCAGGCTGCAGCTGAGCTGTGGGGACAGAGACTTAAGTGCTCCAGGGTGTGAAGAGGGGCAGACCAGAGGGGCTGAGGCAGACAAGCAAAGGGTCCCCCATAGGTCTGGGAGTTGGGCACAACCAGCCAGCAGCCCTCACTTCTTTGTGAAGGGACTTTAGGCCCATGAGGACAGGAACAAAACAACTCCAGTAGGGCCACCTGGCCCCTGAATCCTCCCACTCACCGCAGCTCCCTCCACAGCCCTCACCTGAGTCCTCTGCCACTGCTGGAAGAGGCTCCCCATTCACAGCCTCCTCTGGGCCACCCTAAAGCGAGAGGGGAGGAGCTGAGGCCCTGGGGACACTGCTTCCTGCCTGGTCCTGCCTGCTCCCTGATCCACTCTGCAGCTCCGGGGGCCATGTGACAAGGACAGCCACACTCACCCCTGGACACTCAGTCCCAGGGGAGGGGACCCTGAGGGGCAAGGCGCAGCTTTTCTGGGGGAGGGAGGCGCCAGAGAGGCTTCCTGGGTTCCCCACTGCTCCTCCTGAAGGACACAGCTGGGACTCCTGGGGCAGCAGGATGTGCTGGTCACCCAGGATTGAAGACCTGTGATGGTAGCCTCTCCAAATGTACCATGGACCAGCCTTTCCCTCCCTGCCAAGCTCCCACATTCAGATAAAAAGCGCTGGGCCTGGCCAGCAGGCAGCTGGGGGCTGACCCACGCCTGGCTGTTCTGTGCGACCCTGAGCAGGAAGCAGCCACCTCTCTGGCCTCAGTGAGAGCTCTGTGAATCTCAGGGTGGCTTCCCAGCAGGATTAAGCGATGTCACCTGTGTGAGGAAGCCGGCTGTGTACCTGGCCTCCAGTGGGGGCGCGTCCTGCGGGCCTTTTCCTGGCTCTGGGTTTCTGGGAAGGTGAGGCAGAGCTGACCTCCATAAAATTCTCCAGAGCCTCCAGCTGTGGCAGCTGCTGTTCCCCAGCCTGGCTGTGGTGGATGGCCCCCTGCAGCTGGATCCCTGTCTCAGAATCCACCTGCAGGGGGATGAGCACATCAGAACCCGCCCCGCAGAGCCCCCCTCACCGGCCAGTCTATGAAAGGTCCGCTTGCTCACTGCCCTCTTAGTGTCTGCAAAAGACCTAGCACTTAAAGGGTTCAATAAATGTGGACTGCTTCCACCCCAGGGGAAGACTTGTGTTCCTGCCTCTACTTGTCTCCTCCAGCCCCTGGCACAGTCACAGTTGCCTGGATCCTGCTCTAGGACTCTTCCCACCCTTCTTCCCACCAGAGATAACTCTCGTTAGGATCTACCTCTTCCTGCTCAAAACTCAGTCATGCCTCTTTCAGGGTCACTAACTTGCTCTTTGTACCTCCCCGGAAGCAGGAAGCAGCTGCAATGCAGCCATGCCCTCCCCCCAAAGGCTACTGATCACTCCTCTCTTGCTCCTGAGAGAAATCCCTCCATGATCACTTAAGATGCAGTGCCCATTTGGGTCTTTTAATGAGCTACAGAATTTGACTGGGGCTGCTCAGTATCAATTTTGAGCCTAGAAGTTGTACATTCCCAGAATTGATAGAAGTTCAGGGGTTGCTAGAATACAATTTGTTGTACTCTTCTCCCTTTCTTTGTTTAGGCTTTTATTCCATTTTATTTATTTATTTATTGGTACCGGGGATCAAACTGATACCCTCACGCTTGCCAGGCAGGCGCTTGTGCCACTGAGCTAAAGCCCCAGCCCTCTTATTCCATTTTAAGCATGACTCTTTTTTAATTTATTTGCAAACCACAGATGTTGTTTTGAAAGGAGATATGTCCAAAAACTAATCCTTGATCATAGAATGCTCAGTTGCAAAGTATGGGGGACACTAGAAATCTAAGTTTCAGTGTCATAGAAAAAGGGGAGTCCTGGGCTGCACCAGAGGGGGGCAGGCCAGGGGACAGGCTGCTTCTGCCCACCCACCGCCCCTGAGCAAAGAGAGGAAGGACAAGACCAAGAAAGTCAAAACCTACGTAACACACATGCTTCACCCCACAGGGCATGTTTGCTTCCTCCTTGGAGCAAAAGAGGAAACAGAGATTAGAATCCAAAGGGCCCTGTGATGCCCCTGGCGGGGAATTCACAGGAAGAGGCTCTTTTTAAAGGATGTACAGCTTTCCCTGGTAACAGAAAAGCTGGGCACAATCCAATGTCCATCAAAAGGAGAACAGTTAGTAAACAGTGACACATCACCCTGTAAACTCAATGTGACCATCAAAAGAAGTGAGGGAGTCATAATAAAAACTACCTGCTACTGGGGGCTTACAATGCTGCCGGCCTGGCGGAGGCACGTCATACATGATCTTACCAAGGCTCAGAACAGCACCAGGAAGACTTGTTTCTACCCTACCGCTTTACAAATGAGGAAACTGAGGCTCAGAGGGGCTCTGAAAAAGCCTTAGAGCTACTAAGCTGCACGGCTCCAGTTAGAACTAGTTCTATCTGACTCTAAGGCCCCAGCACCAGGCTGTGAAAAGATTTGTGAAAGACATCATACAGTGTATTACTGACAGAAAAAGAAAAAGAAAAAAAACCCCACAAGTTAAGGAACAATGTTGCATAAGCCCATTTATATAAATACATATTTATAGATGCGTAATAGAAGTTATCTCTGGGGAATGAAATTCCAGGGAGACTTTCATTTTCTGCATGTACACACTTGGATATTTATGTTATTCAACATGAGCATGTATTTCTTCTATAATAAGAAACATATTTTTTATTAAAAAGCGAGGACAAAACAGTATGTATAGTAGGCTTCCGTTTACGTTGCAGGAGAATGAAATTTTAAATTTGTGTGTGCTTGAATATGCATAAGAAGTCTCTGGACGTATCCACAGAACCTAATCACCCGCTGCCAGCCGGGAAGGGCCTGGTGCTGGGAGGGAGCTTTTCACATTTCTTTTTCTTTTTTTTTTTAACCATGAGATTGAATCAGCAAGGAGAAAGAGGGAGGAAAGAAAGAAAATGGGAGACATTTGAGGAAAAAGGCAGGAAAGATATTAAGACCAGCCCTTCACAGTTTGAAGTCTTTTCCTCAGCCCTGTCCTCAGGGTTCCCTAACATCAGTGTTTCAGCTCAAAACAACCGGCAGCAAAATAAGCAGACTTTAGATGCTGGATGTATCAGGCTGGAATACAAAATACGCATGTATGATATGTCTAAAGAAATAACAGGAGTCAAACTCCATGAAAGGAAAAATACCCTCCAACGCCCCCCCCCCAAAAAAAAACCAGGCAGATTTGTTTGGGAACCAAAAACAATTTCTAGAAATACAAAATATAAGTATAATTAAAATTTAAACTATGTAGTCAGGTATGGTAGTACACTCCTGTAATCCCAGCACTCAGGAGGCTGAGGCAGGAGAATCACCAAGAGTTTGAGGTCAGCCTGGGCTGCATAATGAGCATAAGGCCATAATGAGAACCACAGAGCAAGACTTTGTCTCAAAATAAACAAATAAAAACTCTCTGTATGGGCTTAATATCATATTAGATACAGTTGAAACAAAAAAGATGGCAGGAACAGACGTAAATAAATCAGCAGCCTCAAGAGACTTAAATGAACTAATACTTCGGATAACTACAAAAATTACCAATCTTTAAAGAAAGAAAAGAGGCCAAGGGTATAGCTCAGAGACACGGCACCTGCCTGGCAAACGCAAGGTCCTGAGTTCGATTCCCAGTACCACGAAAGAAAGATAGATAATATATAAAGATCTATGTCTGAAACAAAATGATGCAAAAAAATTTGAAAAAAAAAAGTAATGGGTGAACAAAAGTATATCAAACAAAATAAGGCTTTGTAATTATATTATTATGAGGTAAAACAAACTTTAGGGCAAAAGTAACTAGAAGTAAAGACCTCAAAATCTAAGGAAAAGCGGTTTCACCAGGAAGCTGTAAGTGTAAACTTACAAGCATCTAGAAAAAGAATCTCAAAAACTGTAAAGCAAAACTGACAGAACCACGAGGAGAAAGACAAATTCACCACTGCAATGTTCATATAATATATCCTGTTGTCCCTCCCCTACCTCCCCTCCCTTTCCTTTCCTTCCTTTCTCCCCGCCTCCCTTCTTTCTTTTCTTCCTCTTTTTTTCTTGCCATGTTTCCCAGGCTGACTTCAAACTCCTGAGTTCAAGCAATCCCTCCTAATATACAGATATAGGATAACTATTAACCCAGCTAACAAAACAATCAGTAAGGGTAAAAAGACAACATAAATAACATTACTCCGTGTACATGTATATAGCACCACTCCTCTAACAACTACAGAAAACATATTCAAGTATACATGTAACATACATGTAAAATAAGCGCAGTTTAAGCCATAAAGCAAATACTAACAAATTTCAAGACCTGAATTTTTTTTACCCTAGCACTCTGCCCAAAGGAAGTGTAACATAGTATTATTTAAGACAAAGAGGCAAGTAAAATTAGTTTTCTATTTTATTTAATTGAATATATCCAAAATGCTACCATTTCGGTGTGTAGTTCAAAGCTATTAGGATTCTTTTAATCTTTTTTTTTGTACTAAGTCTTTGAAATGGGACATGCATTGCTGTGTCCCCCCAAATCATTCATCCAGAGCACAAGACACCTGCATTCAACTGTCTGAACAATACCAGCACAAACCTTTCTCTTCAATGAACTCAGAGAAATTCAGTAGAATAACCACCTTAAGTGTGTGTATATATTTATATATACCTCTATAATCATAACTGAATCAATAAAAAGGAAACATCTTTCTTGAAAGAAAACACTCATTCAGATTTTTTTAAACCAGCAGTGCTCGCAAAATATCCAAAGACCAAACAATTCTAACCTCAGACAAATCATTCCAGAGAAAGGAAGAGAAAACAACCCATAATTCATTCTGTGAGACGCACAAAACCTTGGTACGAACACCTCACAAGGTTAGCCTGAGAAGAAATCATTTCAGGCTGTAAATTCATCAAGTGAAATACAAAAATTACAAAGTAGTATCAACATGAATCCAGAAAATGTAAAAAGAACATTACCAAATTGGATTTGTTCCAGGAAGGCAAGATTATCTAACACTGAAAAAACAACCTCATTACATTTACTACATTAATAAATTAGAGGGTAAAAATCACATTATCTCAAAACACGGATGAAACCATATTTCATAAAAACGCACTATGCACTCAAGAATAATTAGCAAACCAGGAACAGAGGAAAGATTCCTTAACCTGATAAAGACATCGACAGAAAGACACAACAGGTATCATACTCAATAACAAATTTTCTTTAAAATCCAGAGCAAGTTAAGGGTTCTTGCGTTCACCGTTTCTGGTTAATGTCATACTGACAGTTTTTTTTTAATCAGTACCGGGGATCGAACCACGTGCTTGCAAGGCAGGTGCTTATGCCACTGAGCTAAATCCCCAGTCCAATACTGACAGTTTTAGAAAGCACAGTAAGGGCTGGGGGTTTAGCTCAGCTGCATAAGCGCCTGCCTTGCAAGCAGGCAGTCATGAGTTCGATCCCGGTACTGATAAAATTGAAAAAGACAAAAAAAAAAAAAAAAAAAAAAAAAAGCACAGTAAGGATGGGAGGCAGAAACATCAAGGATTAGGAAGGAAATAACAGAACTGTTATTTGTCTGCATCAAAGAAAAGCTGTCATTTGTCTACATATGATTGTCTATGTAGAAAAAAAAACTCCTAATAGGTGAATTATATGAATTAATGAGTCCAGTGAGATTTATGTATACAAAATCAATCAGCAAAAATCAATCATATTTTTTATATGCCATCAACAGCTAGGACCTAGAAATTCTGGTGGGTTTGTGTGTGTGTGTGTGTGTGTGTGTGTGTGCGCGCGCGCGTGCATGTGTATGTGTGCAAATTTTCAGAGTTACCATTTTAGAAAAGCATCAAAAAATATAAAGTAGTACAATCAGACATTAGGTGCTTCTGCTGGAAAGAATACACAACCACCTAAAAGTCGCTTGAGCTAAAAAACTGAATCCAATTCTAGTCATCCCTCTGGAACAACCAACGGTTTACAGGAAATAGACACGACAGGATCATGTTTATGCCACAGGGATGTAATAAACTATACAGCAAACAACCTCCTTTCTGCAGGTTGCTGGGGAAAAATAAGATATGGGGGAACCTACAGGCTAAAGCAGAGGTAAAAGACATAGCAACCAAGTACAAAGTGTGGCCCGCATTTGGATCCTGACATAAAAGATGGACTGTCAACTAACAGAACCTTTATGAGACTACTGGAGGTCTGGGTAGTGAATGAGTACCTGGGGACATTGAGAAACTATTGTCAACTGTTTTTTCTCCCAGTACTGAGGATCAAACACATGGCCTCGTGCCAGGAAGGCTCTGACAACACTGAGCTAAACCCCCAGCCCTCTGTTGTCAGTGTTTTGGCATGATAACACAGGATGGCTGGAAAAAATAAAAAGAGTTAACTTGGGGCTGGAGGTTTAGCTCGGCAGCATAAGCACCTGCCTTGCAAGCAGGCAGTCGTGAGTTCGATCCCTGGTACTGATAAAAAGGAAAAAGACCAAAAAAAAAAAAAAAAGAGTTAACCCCAAGGATCAGTGATTGTTTTTTGTTTAGAGCCAGGACAAAGTATCTTATGACTTGTTAGTGACTAAGATTCTCTCCCCACCCAGACTCTATCACCGAGGCTCTTCTGAGCCACCCTCAGGACTAGGCCTCAACCTTTGTTCACAGAGATTGGAATAAACATTAATACAGTTTCTAACCACATCCCAAAGAAGACCTCAGACCAGTGGTGGCAAACCTATGGCACGTGTGCCACAGCAGATGTTTGTACTATTGAAAGCTCTAAAAGGTTCGCCATCACTGCCCTAGATTCTAGTAGAGCACCTGTCTGAGAAAATTCAAGGCTGCCTACACTTACTGGCGTGTCTCACCGACACTGCTAAATCCCCAGCCCCAGGGACTTGATTTTTGACAGAGCTGGCAATGCATCTGAGCGAGGGAGAAAGAATGTTTAGTAAATGGTGC